AGGTTGAGGTAAAATAAACAGTGACGTAGAAATGTTGATGTAATGCTTCAGGGTTGTAACACCCTGACCTCTTGTACTTACACGCTTATAGTTGTAGTTAGTGGCTATTGACATTTAGTTTGATTTCTAGATAATAACCAGCAGAGGACAGATAACTGTTCAAACTACTTTTAGCTACTATAGGAATACAGTTTGAAAATTATAATCTATGTTTCATATAATGAAAATGTTTTTACAAAGCATAATTTCTTTGCTTGCAGATTGAAATGATTATCATTTGTATAGCTCCTTTTTTACAGGGCATTATTATTATTAACTGTGACAGAAGTTGATTATAGCTTTCCTTATTGCAAATCTTAACGACACGGTTTCCTCTCTGCAGCGTGTGCTGTGTGCTGAGGAGACGGTCTATCCCAGCAGCCTATGGGGTCCGACATTGGATGATCTGGACCAGGTGGTGGATCGCTGCCTGTTGCCTGAGCTCAGTGTGGGAGACTGGCTTCTATTCTCCAACATGGGAGCGTGCAGCCTGGAGGAATCACTATCCAGCTCTCCCCAGCCGCCTGTCTACTACACTGTCTCCACCTCTGATTGGTGAGTACGGAGTGATTCATCACTAATACAAGCATGGACGTAATATATGTTTTTCCAAGAACTGATATTGATGTTTGGTGTTGTTCACAGGTACGAAATGCAGGAGGCTGGTGTGGCACTGGACAGTGCCATGAAGACTTTCTCCATGGTCCAGTACAGTGCGTAACTACCCTCTGCCCCTGTCCTGTATCCAATTGCACAGACCCTCCTTTGCCTGTCCTTTCACTATGAGTCAAGGGGTCAGCGTGGTATTTAAGATCGGGGGCTAAATGTGGTCAACATTCCAGCCACCTCAGAAAATCCAGCATCCTATTATTTCTTCCAGGAATTTGACTTTCTTTACCTCCTACAAACGGTTAACAATTGTAGTTTGATACCTCAATTGTCTAAAATGTTATCTGGAAGGTTGTGTATCTTTACTCCTCCCTCTAATGGACTCAAAAAACATGTCAGCTAAAAGAACTCCAGCCCAAGCTCAAATGACATTATGCAACAAAATGGACGACTCTCTGGAGATGGGGCCCTCCAACTTGTTTGGGGTGGTTTTTTTCCTAATTATAACAAATCCAGTTTACAAAATGTACAATTGATTTCAATCCTGTTCTTTCTTGATTATCTGTTGACAGTCTTGTAAATCCTGTATCTGTTCAACTCACATTTTGTCTGTAGATGATTTTTGAAGAGATTCAAAGAATCAATGCCTCGTGTGCATTCTGTATTTCAGAGCCCTCACTTGGCAGAGTTTAAATTAAATTATGACAATGATGTAACCTTTTTCTTTATTGCAGTTCACCTCAATGCATCTTTATTTATTGGATTCAGATATTACCGGGACATATTTAATGCTCCGTCTTTGTGTGTTTTGCCCAGGTATTATGCTGTGGCCCATCTAACAGTGTTTTCCTGACAAGATATCAATGTTTTGTTTTGTTTTTTTAAACGCTACATGGATATAAGTGTGCTGTGATTGCCATTTGTGACCTCAGTGGTTTCTCTCTACTCAAAGCACTTGAAGGAAATGCTATGAGAGATTCTTTTTACACTGAGTTAGCTTTCAACACAGAGAAGCTGCATACACCCAAACACACTCCTCACCTCTATTAGACAGATGTTATCTGGTTTTACATGCACAAGATCTTTTGTAGGTTAAAGAAATACTGTGACATTTACCAATGCAGCCCTGTTTTTTGTTTTAAGTTTTTCATATCAGTGTCTCTTGCATAGAGATTGCTCCCTATTCTCCCAAGAACTGAAAAACCAGCAAAGGATCATGTTCTGAAACATGCTCGAACATATATGATGTGTATGCAGCGGACATAGACTTACATGTCTATCTTTAAAATATGACATGTTAGTTGTACACAAATGATGAATGATGAATTAAACGCCAGACGTTTCCTCATGCCTCTCTAAAGATACGAGGGACATATTGCAGTCACTTGTACAGCTCAATCAAGTCTGATGATATTAAAGATGACCTGACTCAACTGCAGTTTTTAAAGAATCCTGCCCTCGTGTTAAAAATTACTAATGTATTAATTACATGCTTGTCTAAGGCACTAATGGACCATAGCCTGTTTTGACTGTAAATTGTGCTTGTTAAAGTGATTAATTTAATACATTTCTGACTGAAATCATTTATCTTGTGTTTGTTTGATCTTTGGCATTGGGAGGTGGAACAGTTGTGGGTTACTTGCACATGTTCTCGATAAACTTGTCACTGTTTGCAAAATAAGTTACAACCATATGTTTCTGATCAGACATGACTCTGGTGAGTGTGTTCTGAATATATGAAACAATCTGCAAGCCAGATTTAGGGCTGCTGCGTTTTAGTGGAGGTGATGTGTAACGTATTTAACACTTCTGCAGATCTTATTAATCCTTAACTGCTCAAACAAAATATTAGAATATCAACATGGGTCATTGAAGGTGCTTGAATATATATATTTTCTACTAAAATAGAAATTTAAGTTTAGCTTTCTGCTTGTGTCTTCCACCATCTCTCAGCTTTTCAACTTGAAAATGCATCTTGTCAACTCGTAAATCATTTTGATTTTTATTAGTAACTAGGCTGGTTCCTTGTGTCGATCCACGCCACATTGGGTCCTTGAATTAAAAGATAGTGTTGGAAACCTGTCATATTAATGGTTCAAGCTGGTCAGTAATTTGTATTTTACCAGGGAGGTATTCTGTTTTATCGTCTATTAGATGCACTGTTTATTCTATTTAATTCAACTGGCCTTTGTGATCCATTCATTCTAATAGTATACTCATGAAATGTTTTTGATATTAGCATAGAATAGTTTTGATTGTTATCAAAGAAAAAATGATTCCAATCCAGCAGCTCAGTCCCTAAAAAAGATGCATAAAAACACAGGACACAATGATTATCAACTCTAGCAGCCAAAAATAAGTATCTTTGAGTAATTGAGTCGAGTCGAATCAACTGTTGCTGAGTTTTGTCGTAGTAAAAACCAACATGCCCAGGAGCTTAGATTACAAACGCAGTAAATGCAATATACTGTAGTTACAGAATAAATACTAACGAGCTCAGCAGCCATCTTCTTGCACCTGTGCATTGAAGTATCTAATCATTTATATGGTGCTGAAGCCTTTTTGATACTAAACACGCATTTGCAACTCAGCAATCAAAGAGAGCTAGCAGTGAAAATAAAGCTAACAGTGAGTAAAGTGGAGATTTAAGTTTGAGTCTAAATAAACATGTTCAGTCAGCTCTCACCTGTGTTCTCTAGCTTCTATCCTCATCTAACTGTTAAGAGCTAATCTTGACATTACCATATTGCCAGTCCCAAATATTGCACTAGATGTCTTTAGCCATTACTCATTCTGAACCTCAAGATCATTAGAGTAGAAAATATCAAGGAAAATGTTTGCACACGTGTCTGATGTCAGCAAAATGATGCCATTGATTTCTCCATAATCTTTATGAACTATTGCCACGGAAACATTTCCTGTGTGTTATATGGGAGAGAGGATAACCAGAGAAGGAATCCCTTCTTTAAGAGGAGTTGTTATACCTCCATTCATGTCTCAGCCACTATAGACTGGCACTCACTACATGTCATCATGGGCTGAGTGAGCGCACAGTACATAGCAGAAGTGGTCACTCTGTATTTGATCGAGGTGGCGATGATGATGAATAAAAGCTGATTTATTAGACTGCCAGGAACAAAGCACTCACTCAGCAAAGGACGTCACAACACAGTGATGGAGTCGCAGTTACATGCTTGAGGAGTTCTTGATTCACAGCCTGCTCAGGGTGACAGAGTAGGAATGCATTTTGGTGGCTCTCTGATTGGTTAATTGCATAACCTTGGTCAAGAGGGAATCTTGCTGTAAAAAAATCCCTTATTCACTACTGAGCAGGTTCAGAGATGACGTAATCTAACTGAGTCGCCCTGACATCACCTTTGGGAGACGACTCCTGGTAAGAAACACTTAGTGCAGTGATCGGTGACATGTATGTGTCAAATCTCCTTTTGCCCAGAAAATCCCATCATCCTAGTTTACGTTGCATGACCAGAGGGCTGACGTGACCTTATCCATCAAATGTTGAACTGAATCGTTGTATCACACCCAACACTGAAAAGCTGAACCTTTTCAACAGTCAAATTTAAAGTTGATAGATGATTAATGACTGTGTGAAAGAATCGTAATGAGTTATGGCACAAAAATTCGTAGGTATAAAGGAATGGAAGTGCTTGTGCTACTGTGTAGTAGGTGATAAACGGATTTGTGACTGAACAAATGGTCCTGTTGTTTTGCAATGCCGTAAATCGTAATTCACCAGTGCACCTCGGAGAAGCTTTGGATTGGCATACCGTCACACTGACACTTTAATAAATTGATGATCCCTCTTCAAACAAAGTGAAGGCTGTGATTCTAACGTGTGGCTTCGCTAAATTTGTACGAAAGTGAACATTTCTGCAAGTAGTCAAGTGAGAAGGCAGAGTATTAGATTGCTAATTGAAAAATGTTTTTAATCGACCCACAAGTGGGCAAAACTATGACTGCACATGAAAATTTTAAACTTAGCAATGCTATGGCAAAAAATGGCTTTCCGGCCATTGCTAGCTGTTTGAAGTTTTCTGATCAATAAATGTATCCCAAAGTTCTAACTTTTACGCTATGCTAGCCCAGGTACTTCTAACTTTAATTTCCACTCCCTCTCTGATCAAAATGGTGGGTCGATGCTATAGGCTAACAAAATGGCATGAGATGACATCATGATTGAGGGACCGCCCATTTAGCTCAGTTACTTGACATCTCATTGGTCCACCTTGGTCACGTGCCACGTGACGTCCAGTAGGGGTCGCAGGAGCCACGCCCCCCGGCCTAGCCATGTGGTGTAATGACCAAAAACCCGATGGACAGGTCACTAATCACATGAAAGGCGCAGAGTGGAGGATGAAAGGCATCACCTGGAGACCCCGGATGAGCGTGTGACAGTGGCGGCGGAGGAATAAAAAAGTTATTCTGTTTTTAGGCTGACGCGCCTCCCATTGGTCAGTTTGTGCTGTATGCAAATTAGCACGGCTACGTCAGATCCTGAACTTGTGCGCCATATTTTTTCCTCAGTAGAGGAAGAAAGGGACAAAAGCGGCGGAGACATTAACGTAACATCGCAGGTGATTCGTAAACATTGCGCATTCTCCTGAAGGCGTGCGCGCGCGTATGTGTGACCGGAGGATGCTGCTCGGATGAGTGTGCGCGCGCGGCGGGGGCAGCGGACGCAGCTTGTCGACACACACACACACACACACACACACACACACACACACTTACGCACACTCACGCACACACACGCAGGCCGGTGGAAGTGGGGATCGGTGGAACCTGTCAGATCCAACGTTCACGGGAATAAGACGAAGGTAAATATCCGTGCGGGGCCGAGGAGGAGGCGGCGTGTCCCGATCACTGACCCGCTGCTGTGGTGACCCCGATGTGGGCAACACACGCTGACACAGACGCACGTTCATAGACACAGCAGGGTTAGCATAGGTGGTGACTGGTCCAAACACACACAGTTAACTGAATACAAGTTCTCATCTTATCTCAGTGAAGTGCGAGTATTCATTTATTATTCATGCAGAGGCTCGTAGTGGAATCAGCTGTTGCACAACAACTGTTGTGTTACTGTGATTTGTGAAGAGGCATGTTGTGGTTTGATATTTGTACAGGAAAGTTTTGATCTTAATGAGGATGATCCTAATGCTACAGTTTATTATTTCACTAGTTATTGACAGTGACTACAGTAAATTGATGGTTTTGTCCTTTTTGTCATTTTATGAGCAGCATGCTGAACATTTCACAAAGTTATTTCTAACTATGATTAGATGAAATCAAATTGATGTTGCCTTGTAGGTTTATACACACACACACACCAACATACAGCATGGATTAACTATTGTGTCTCCCTTCACCTTTTGTTCCCAGTATTTTCCATTTCCTGTTTAACTCTAATCTTTTATTTCTACAGTCTTCTTCATTAAACAGCTGAATCTACAGCAGCGTCACAAATTGTAAAATTAAGTTACCATACTGAAAGAGTGGTTACTGTCCTGTGACCCCACTGTCACATGTATTCGAATGTGCCTTAAATGTGAACATACATTATTTAGTCAAAGGATATTTATCATAGCGTTGTAATAACTGTGTATTCATGCTCCGTCCCAATTTCCATTTGTGTCCTATCAGGCCTGTGAGGTAAAATGTATCAGGTTCCAGTTGGAAACATTGAGAAGATAAGAAAGGCGCGCAAGGCGGTAAAGAACATCCTTTCTGAGATTGGCCTGGAGGATTGTCAAAACCTGCTGAAGGTATGTAGAGTTGTATTCAGGGTTCAGTTGATTACAGATGAATAATGGTAAGGTATTAAAGAAAGTTGATTTCAGTTGATAAAATCATGTTCAGTCATTGATTTGTAATGTCAGCTATTAATCCAATCAACTCTAATCCAATTGCAGCATCAACCACTTTACAGTTTAAAAATAGTATCAGTTTCTTGTTAATCTTTTATTGTAGAGATTTAAATTTGATACATTAAAGAAAGATGCTCACAGGGTTTTCTATTGGGTTGTTATGGCAACAGGAGGGGGGAGTTGGGTAATATGATGTCATGTCTACTGGCAGATTTTCTGTAGAATTCGTCCAATGTGGGAAAGGTCACAAATCCATGAGCAGGACTACTCAATGGAGAGGTTGTGTTAATGTTAATATGATACTTGTGAGATATTTTCATGCATTTTGATATTTCTGTATATTTTTATTAGATGATTTACTGTGATAAGTGACATCATGAAGCAGACAGGAAATTGTCACATTGTGTAATTAGGTTGAACTTTTGCTACAGATTAGAGACATGATCGTCTGCTTGTTGAGAGCAACCAATCATTCATCACTACATTGTATAAATGATTCACTGCTGGGATAACGTTACTGTTAACCATATGGTTTTTGAGTTTTTCTCCACAAACAAGCCTGTCTTTAGTTTTTGCAAAGTGAAACTCGTTGTCCTAGAACATCATATTACATGAAACCCAAAGTATCATTTGTGGAAGTTAGCAGTTAATGTTACCTGATTGGGGTATATACAGCAGGCTTAGGGTATGCATCCCCCCTTTGTTGCTTTTAATTTTCTTAATTACCATTTTGAATGTTTGATTTTGCATGTTTTACATTGTACTGTTTCTTATGCTAAATCATTGTTTGTGTGTTTACTGTCAGGACCTTAATGAAAAGACTGAGACAAACGAAGAAGAAGAGGAGGTCTTTCATGAAACCAAGTGGATTGATTTTACAGATGGATACAGTACGAGACTACAGAAAAAGGTGAATGTGACACGCATCAACAAAATATCACCAACAACAGATTATTTGCTAGATTGAGTAACTGTTAAGTAATGAATACCTCATGTCAGTGGAGTATTTATTCCATATTGTGTCAGATTTGTAGGTTGGTGAGAATGTTAATGCACAGATGATGATTCAGTGAGATATTAACTGACTTTTTCTTTCTGTTCAGTGGCCTTATCGGTCCCACTCGCTGTGTTGTAACCTCTGCAAGTACTCGTCACAAAACATCTACAACTTCAGGAGTCACGTCTCCCGCTGCCACGGATATGTTCAGTCATTCTGCGCGCTGGCGCCCTGTTCCCAGTGCCTCTTCATCAGCCACCCCAAGGTCGTCAAGAGGCACATGCTGCTCTTCCACGCCAAACTCGCCACCCAAATACAATCACAAAGGGACCCGTCTTTACTCACCCATCGCGGAAACGAGAGGTATCAGTGTCGAAGATGTGGATTTCCAAACTCTTCGATCTTTGCGATGAAGAAGCACATTATTCTCAAGCACTTGGACAGTTTGGCAGAACAGTATATAGGTTACAGATTAAATATTCAAGGAAATACGTCTGTAAAGATCTACTGCTGCAAAGTGTGTAAGGTGAACACGGGGAATCTAGACCAAATGTTGCATCACATGCTGGTTGAGCCGTCGCATTATTCAGTCAGCACACAAGTGCAGAGCCTGATTCACGAGAACAAGAACTACACCATTAAACCAACACCCAATGGAAATGGTGTGTTTCTGACATTCCCAAGTATCTCTCCGAAATTACAGCAAGCTCAAATATTCAACAGTAAGTCCTTGGTTTTACCAGCTAATGGCCAACCTGCTGGGACTGTGGTGACATTACAGCAACTGCAAGGAAGTACAAACACAACTACTCTGATCTGTGCCCCTGGAACAAACCAAGCTTTCCTGCCCCCTCAAGCATCGGCACTAGTGCAGCTAGCTAGTGCCGAAGCTAAAGGTCTGCTTCAGCCTGGTGCCACGATAGCGCTTCGAGGTACTTTACCCCAAGGACCGTCCATGCTCCAGCTTCCCACAGTGTCTACTGTGTCTCTGAAACAGGCACCAATGGTTCTAGCTCAGGCTTCTGCCCAACCACATCAGACTCCACAAGCACAGCAGATCCTGGTTCCGTCAGGAGTGCAGGCCAACATGGCAGCTGGAGCTGTACCTAAGCCTGCCGTGGTTGCACAAAATGCGTCAACAAATCAAATCAACCTACAAGGCACCATGCTGACTTCACAGTCCCTGCTGAATCACCTGATCCCAACCGGCAACAGGGTGAACGGCATGCCCACATACACGTTTGCTCCACTGCAGGGAGCGATGCCCGTCTCTCAGAGCACAAGTACCCCTCTCAAGGCTGTAGAGCAAACAAGTAACTCCGTACCACAAACTAAGAAATGGATTACCTGTCCCCTCTGTAATGAACTTTTCCCTTCCAACGTGTTTGACATTCACACAGAGGTCGCCCATCAGACAAAATCCCTCACCTCCAAGTCAGAAAGTTTGGCAGCACGAGCAGCATTCCTTAAGAAAATGCCAGACAAAACTGTCAAATGCCTAACATGCAAAATTCTTCTCTCAGAGAAGAGCGTCTTCCAACACTTGCTGCATGGCCTGCATTGTTTGTACTGCTCAGCCTTGTTCTACTCAATCAAACAACTTGCTGAGCATGTGAAGCAGCACAATCCTTCAAGCAAAGCATACTGTGATTTCCTAAGGCAGAAGTTCAGGGTCTACTCAAAAGGTGTCGGAGGAATCCTATTCCCTTACTTTGACGTCCACACCACTGCACCAAAAGAGATCCTCGGAGACACGGAGGTCAATCTTGCCCTGGTCACAAGTACGCTCGACCTGATCTTCTTTAAGTTGCAGCCCAGCAGCCAGTCAGAAATCTGTTCAGCTCCTGTAAAAATCAACAGCATGTACTGTCCCTTCTGTGATGAAAAGTTCCCAAACGAAACCAAACACCTGCAGCATCTGAAACAGAAACACTTTGTTGCTCCTACTATCCATGCCATCCTCAAGACCGAGGCTTTCAAGTGCATATACTGCAATGGAGTGTACACAGGGAAGGTCACCCAGCAGGCTGTGATGCTCCACATTCAGCGATGCCGGTGTTCACCAAAACAACCACAGCCACCCAAACCTACAGCACCACCACCGCAGCCTCCAAAACCAGTTCAGCAGATCATTCAGCCGTCCGGGCTCTACTTTCTCCAAATGCCACAAAGGCTGACTATGAAACAGGCTCCAGCAACTATAACTCCAACTCGTGCGATTCGACCTGCACCTGCAGAAACTGCAGAGGAGCAGCTGTCAAAGAAGCGGCTGGAGGCTGCGCTGAAGCAGGTCATGGAGGACAGCAAACGAGAAAGAGAGGTAAAGGCGGCCATACGCAAGAAACGGGAGCAGGAAAAGCTGTTGCCTCTGCCGGAGCCTGAGGTCCAAAACGACCCTGCGGTGAAGCTGGCTTTGGAGCCGACCCCAGTTGATCGCCGCAGTGGTGACGAGCGCAGAGACTTCATATCTAAATACTTCAACTTAAACCCATACGCCAACAGAGCGGAGACGGAAGAGCTGTGCAAGAGGCTTTCTCTCACCAAGCCGGAGTTGGCGGCCCTCTTCAGCAAGAAGCGCAGTAAGTGCATGAAAAGCCTCAAGAGGAACAGCCCCGCCATTCTCCTGGGCTTCAACATGACCGAAGTGAGGAAACTCAAGCACAACCTGCTCATCCCAGAACAGCGGCCCGCCGAACCCACAGAGCAGCCGCACGTCAGTAAAACGGCGCAGGTGGTGAACAATGAGGACGTACCAGAACCGATGGATGTGGGCGGAAATGAGAAAGTTGCAGAGGAGGTGGAGCCGATGGAATGAGTTCAGGGGGCCGACCCCTCTGATTGAACCCTGATACTTTAACAATGGCCTTTTGTGTTGACCGTCACTGGAAGAGTTGAACAGTGTATTTCCTAACGTACACCTGTACATGAGAGCAGTTTCTTCAAGTAGCCATCATTAATAGTGTTTCATTTGACTTTAGAATGTTGTCAGTGGCCCATAACATTATTTCCACACAACCAGAGTAATGCTGTGATACTCCCTAATATATAATATATATAAGCATATTGAAGATACAGATGTATACAACAGTATTTCGCTGGTTACATTATTCAATCTACTGACTTCAACATAATCACTGACTTGTGCCTGGTAGCTGCTTTTTTCACCCTTTATTTAAACCCTTTGTAAAAAGTGTGATTTCAGTTCTTATCTTCTAATATTAAAACTTAAGTGCACAACTCCATCTAGAGTTCAGTTATTATGCTTTTTCTGTTTTTCCTTTTTTGTAACATATTGGACCTATTTCATTCATGTGCACGGCTTTATTATTTCAGTTTTTTCACGGTTTCCATCTTCGTATTGACAGTTTAAGGGGGGGGGCATGTGTTTTGCTCACCAGCTCCTATAAATTTTTAAGGTGGACGTTCTTGCTTGATTCCCAGAATTGTCAAAAACATGGTTATTACTATTATTAATCTCAATTGAATCATGAGGCTTGCTTGATCTTTTCTTTTACTGTCAGGTGAAATTATGATATGTGCCATTGTGAGGAAGTCTACACAGTTGCATAGTAGAAACAACAGAACATAGATGTCATCGGGTGTTGATTCTTTCACTGTATATCTTTGGTTCTCCTGTTTTCTTTTTTTTTTACTTGTATTTTCTATAAATCCTAGAGGTTCAAAATTGTAGGGAGAGGTCAAAGTCCTCATTCTGTCCAAGACCACTGTGTTGTAAAGAATAAAGTGGTTCCTTTTTACATGAATCATTCATTACTTTTTCTCTTAAATATATATTATTTGTACTCAAGCTGTGTTAAAGGCCTCAGATGTATCTTTAACATGCAGCTGACTGAAAAAAACTTCAGGTCACTTCTGATGCATTTATCGGCAGAAACAGAACAGTACGACGGAGTACTAGGGCGACTTGAAGAGGGAGTTTAAAGTCATACGAATAAAGTTGTATTTTCATAATATTACAAGAATAAAGTTGTAATTTAAGGATACATTTTAGAGGGGAACGATCAGTTAAAATGAGGAATGTGGCGAATAGATTGGTTCATCAACAGCAAATTATACATTTCAGGATTTTGAAAAGATTACAACTTTATTCTCATATTCAAATTAAACCACAACTTTATTCTCGTAATATTACAACTTTTTTACGACTTAATCCTTAATAATATGACCTAATTCTCGAAAGAAAAAAAATGTATATGAGCAAAATACAGAAGAGAAAGTCAAGTCAAAATGAAGTCAGTGCAATAAGAGGCTGGCAACATTGAGGTGTTTTTAGTGTTTAATATTCCCCTGAGAAACACATATGCTTCATACAGTTTCATACAGTTCACTCACCCATTATCTCAGCTCTAAAATCAAATACGTGTGTCTCTGTACATCTCAGAAAGTAAGAACATGAGGGTCCAGCCAAATGTCTCATTATTGACAGCATGCATTATTATCGTCTGGCCACAGTGCTGCCAGTTGGTCTTGACCTAAAATAGTAGTTTGACAAAAAAATCTAAAATCCAGCTCCACTTACTAGATCTGTCTCCAGACTTCATCGTCCCCTTATTATTTCATTTGAACTTTACATACGTCTTGATGAATATGATATGAATGAAAGCCCTAGAAATTGCTGTAAAGTGAAATCACAAGGTCCTATCATTAGCTCTTTTTTAAACTTGTAAATTTTTATTTGACAGGTGTTCTGATTTGATCGAGGATAGAGGGGCCACTATAGTTGTTGGTTTGAATCACCTCCAGCCTCTTCCTGTACTCCTCTGGGAGGCCGTTCTCCTCCGCACCCAGACACACCACCTAATAATGAAACACAAGCGAGAGGGACGTTTGGTAAATAAAACAATTAAAAAGATTAATCTCCTTAGCAAAGCTGTTTTCATACATGAACTTCAGAAAAGTCTGGTAAATTAGGTGCGGACATTTTCCAGAGTTTGTCTTTCACACATGAAGAACACAGCAAGAGATTGTTGGTGTCAGACGCGTTCACAACAGGAAGTTGAGATCTTTGTCTGGTTCTTGCCTCTTGCTCATCTTGAGATATTTGTATTCTTTCAGTTTTGAAACATTAACGACACGCCCGTTCACTCGCTGTAGATTTTCGAAACATTTTCCTGCTCCATTCTCACATTGTCCTGACATTGTATTCTGGCACTGGCATCGAAGGTTCCGGAAAATGTCCAGAGCAACTGATTCGAACATTTGCCTTCTCACTTGCTTCCCCTTTGAAAAGTTCAGGATGTCTGGACTTCAGGTCTGAAAGCAGCTCAGAGGATTTGTCATGTGTCATTACAAGTATGTTATTTTTGAATCTGTGTTTTGTGGACACAAACCTGTTTGTACTGAGGAGAGGGGGGGCAGGCGTGGAAAGATTTCATCTGGTATGTCCTGCAGAGCATCAGCCCTTCGTCTGTTTCCACGGAAACCTCGAGTGGCGAGTAAATCCCCTCCCTCACTCCTTCCTGGCTAAGGTCACAGGAGGAGGAAACATGCAGTGTCACTTATAATGACAAATATCAGCTATGGAACTGATGTAACAGCTGTGTTTTGATGTGTGTGTGTGTGTGTGTGTCTCACTTGTCGAGGCTTGTGAGGTTTTCATTGTTCAAAGCCCAAACCACCCCCCACACTTCAGCGCCTGGACAGAACTGGATGGTGGCCACTCCGCCGTGCCAAGAGTTCTCCACGTGTTTCTTCCACAGGCCAAAGCTCAACTTGTAGTCCTGTACACAAACACACACACACACACACAAATTCCATAGTTAACTTACACTTGCATTTATTTCCTGGAGACTTTCCACAATCATAACCACTTCTCGACTAAATCCTAACCTTCTAAAAATCAGCTTTTTCCCAAATGGTATAGTTTTTATCTCTAATTGGACAAGCTGTCCTCAACTGGTCTTTACTCTCACAAAGGTGTCCTATGACAAAGACACTAACACACACACACCCATGGGGGACAAAAGACTGTGATGTGTGCATTTTAAACATAATGCCTTTTATTCCACTGTAGATGTAAAGAGCTGCTATGTTTGTGTTTTCAGCCGAGTCCCAGCAGGACTGTTCTGCTGTTGGTGTCAGACCCTGTTGTTGCAGCCGGTTTAATGGGGGGGGGGGTAACTCAACAGTCTCATCATTTAAGAGGACCAATATTAGACATGAAATAATAACATCATATTATATATAAATGAGGGGCATTGTTTATTTGTCTATTATATTATTCGGTTTGTGCTCATCAATCAACAGCCAAAATACTGTAAATGAGTCAGAGTTGGTGATACAGATACAGAATCAAATGACCTTATATCTGTTCGTTACCTCATTATAATCACATCTATGGATCATCATGTCAATAATACATACCATCAGAACTCACTGTGCAGCAAACCCTTTTAAAACACTATGTCAGATAAAAAAAGAAGTAAATACAAATCAACCATGAGGGTACAAACCCAGAACAACACGAATCATTACAGTACAATTAGTCTTCAAAAAAGCCAAACTACAAGTTCTACATGCGAGTGCAACTAAACTCATTGTTAATGATGTTTTAATATAAACAGACAGTGGACGATGGTGATTAGAAATTAGAACATTTTACCAGGGGGCGCTGCTGCGAACATTTCAGAATGATATCCGGTCATTCACTGCTGCTTTCAGACATGGTGTTGAGAGTGACGTCAGAACGACAATGTGACGTAAAAACCAACAACGACATGACACACACACGACAAGCATTTTATTGACGAGCAATAAGATGACTATTGGAGCAATTACATGTTAATCACAGCAGAAGTCGACCTGACTAATTATTTCTGTATTCATTATCATTGTTATATATTTGCGGCGCACACTCAACAGAACACGAAAACCCAACAAAGGCGGTTTGGACCTGTCTGAACGCGACATGAGTGGGTGAAAGCCCCCTCGGTTACCTTGAGTCGAGCGGTGCAGCAGAACATGGCAGAGGGGTTCGACAGCTGCAGCCTCTGCCTCAACAGGTTGCTCCCGAAGGCGAAATACATGAACTGATCGAGAGCGGCCATGTTGGTGTGTCTCTGCTCAGCCAGGTGTCCGCGGACAAAGGAGGACAGACAGGATGTGTGAAGCACCGTCAGTGGACATATGTCTGTGCTCATCGGTGCAGGTTCATGTCTACAGGACTACAACTCCCAGCGGCCACTCGACCAAACCATCGAAACCATTGGTCGGTTATAAGGACCGTTTAAAACGTGTCAGCCAACCACAGCACAGAGTCACGTGTAGAGAAACGCCCATAGAATTGATTTAAAGAGGAAGTACCACACCAGCTGTCTGCTCATGCCGCCTGTAGGTGGCGCTATATCAGTCAGGCTGCTGCCATTCTGGGAACTTTGGTGTTTCTCTATAAATTTGAGTCTTGACCTTATATGTCAATTCTGTACATTCTTACTTTTACTATCTTAATACTTGTTTTTATTTTAACTTTAAATGAGTCAAGCAGCTTTTAATTTTGTTGTAACTTTTACAGTGACAGTAAAGTCTTATATTATGATGCAACCTATTGTTTGATCCATCCATCAAGTCCATTCAAACCCTTCTGAATTGTATTTGCTTACTTCAGGTTAAGTGCTGCTCCCTGGGAGTCTGGATCAATCAGACCTTCTAACCTCTGAATGAACTGAATTATGCAGTCAGAGCCATTCCGTTGGTTAAAGGCCACATAACTGCATCAATAAGACACAGGTCCAGATGTGACACAGGTTTCTGCAGGTTTCAACTAGTTCAATATGAACTTTTCAAGACCATAAGGGATGAACCTTAGTAAAACAACAAAACCATGTAATGTTAGTTTCTGGATTACACTTCCCCATAATTGAAGACAAGGTAAAGTATCTTGGTAGAGAATAACCCTCAATATTCCATGTTATCACAACACTGACCTAAATATGTGAAGGACCTAGGATGTGATATATGATCATATATGAACGACATTTGAGGCCTAAATCCTTAAAGACCCAGCAGAAATCATTATTACTCACCATTTCAAATACAGTGAATAAACCAAGTGTCCGATAATAATATGACCATATAGACATCTAACCATGCACATGTGAAGTTTTAGGATTCACTTTTCATTTTGACCACAATCAGAAGTTAACGTAAATGTGTTAACCATGTTACCACAGCTATTATTTATCTCTGGCATTTTCCCAGTTTTTGTAACATTACTCATGGAAAACATTTCTATTCAAAGACACTTTATTTAGTCATGTAATGAAAACAGTAAGAAAACAAAAAGTATCTGACTGGATAACAAAACAGCAAGTCAACAATGCTGTAATAACGCACACAGTCAAGTTGATCCTCTTCATAAGAAGCACTTTTAATATACAAAAAGGAAAAATAAAGAAAAGACATTGAAATTCAAAAAAGGTTTCCTCTGAGAAAAAAAATCCTGTACAAACAGCTGGGAGGTGAAAAGCAACTGTACAGCCTGGTGCTCATCTCCTTGGACCGCCTCGGCCTCGTCCCCTTCCTCTGCCACGACCTCGTCCTCTGCCTCGTCCACGGCCAGCCACTAAGGGACAAGACGGTAACAGTCAGCACGTTCGTCAAACTTTCACCAGCATATCAATGAATTATTGACGTAGGTCAGTCAACGATTAGACCGCAACAATGTAAAACTAGATACAGGAGCCAGACATGCACAGCTCAAATTTTAACTTTTATTTTTCCTATCTTTATGATCAACGTGCAGGACATTGATATCAGGGACCATTAGAAATATACAAACACATAATGGAGTGAGTGGACAGTTTGCACTCACAATATCAACAGTTGTGTGGTGATATAATTCTTACACTTGTGAATGAAAGGGGTCAGACTGACATCCCTCAGAAACATCACAATGTGCAAAAATTAAAGTATCTGCATGAACGATTCTCTAAACTACAAACACAACGCAATTCACAAAATACAAAGACAAGAGTGATGTGGTGTTCTTATGTTTTTGTTGGCCTTTGTCATTTCTGCCACACTCACCTGCTTCCCTCTTCTTGGACTTGATCTTTGGCTCGATGTCGACCAGTAGGGTGTCCAGTGGAAGGCTGTCGGGCAGGATGAAGTAGCGAATGTTGTTGCCACGGATACTAAGAGACTCGAGCTGAGTGGGCTCTCTGTTTTTCAGGGTCATTTTCACAGCCTTCAGATGAGTGTTCATGCTAACGTCGACACCTACATGAGAAATAGAAGAGGGCCAAACATGCGATGATGAACACACGAATCCTGCGATCACAAACGGGCAAAACAATGACGAGCAATAAGACGACTTCTGTGTACTACTTCAGTTGACCTGAGACATTATGATGGGGGAGACACATCAATCAAAGAATCTTAAAACAAAGTCTATAAGACCACAGATTATGGTTGTATGACAAATATCCTGTCTCTCTTCCCAAAATGCCATCTTTATAACAACCAAACCAGGACACGTGTCAAGCCAATTGTGTTATTGCACAAACAAACACACAGTTGAGCTTTATGAGTGAATGGACACATGCAACATGGCAAACTAGTCAAACTTGTACAAAAACTTGTGTGATGTATCAACTTCATTTGTGCTACAGTGAGTCACTGAATTCAGCTGTAAAAGATCATGTAACATCACAAATGCATAGTATGAATGTAAGCTGGAAAGCCAGGTCTCATGACAGAGAAAGCAATGAGAAAAGTATAAGTAATTCAGCTATATTGACCCACAGGATGAATGAACGTAGGTACTCTGCGCAGGTCAACAAGTGACTCTGCTCCTCTGATGTTTTCTAATCACTCACACAAAGAACTGATCTTTATTTTTTTTTTTTTTTTAAACCCTGTTGGATTCATATTTATTTTTCCAGCATTCAAATTCAACTTGAAACAAGGTCAGTTACACTTTACTTCTAGCCTAAATGTTCACTGTGATCCAAGAGCGAAAGCAGCTCCAGAGGAGAAAATCAGGACATTTAGGCTAAAAACATAAATTTAAATGACGTCATTTTGAGTCAAATCTGAACACCGGAGCTTACAGACACTGGGATGTCACCACAGGAGCAATATGCATTTTATGCATTCGTGTGTGGTCTTTACCAAACATGACTTGAACACACAGTTATCACAATCAATCAGTACAGAGGGAGATCATCTGTAATCTGGCAAAGCACATTTCCAACACAACCAGACACGACTGGTCACAGTTAAATCATCACAACTAGATGAGCAGGATAATTGTGTTTGCATGCAGAACCTTCAGCTGTTGCATATTAATTTGCCTGTTTGTTAATCACACAACACCAGCAAAATAACATGAGTCATTAAGCCTGAACTCCACAAATAAGCTTTGTTGCAGTTTATAAAGATCAACACATCTTCATGCTGCAGCAAACTACACTCACCTGTGATGGTGCCGTGGACCTGGGTTCCATTCTTCAGTTCGATAGTGACCGTCTCATGGCTGAGCTTCATCAAAAACCTGAGAGAGGAATCATCGAATGAGCTCACAACACAAATCTCAGCACCCTGGAGCGAGTTTCCAGGTCCAGTGTGTAAGATTAAGGCAGATGTCTAATGCAGAATAATCCTCATGATGTTTTCACTAGTTCGTTTCATCTAAGTTGTATGACTTGTAGTTTTCTTTAGACCAAAAATGGCCCTTTATGTTTTAATACTATATATTTACATCATGGGGGGTCCTCTCTATAGAGGCCGCCATGTTTTTTTCCCATCAGTCCAGACTAGACAAATTAAACAGGCTCTTTTTCATGTTTGGAAGGAAAGGGTGGGGAGAGGGGTACTAAGCTGCAACATGCAATTTCAACACTAGATGTCACTAAATTCTACACACTGTGCCTTTAACCTGGGGGTAGCTAGGTTTAGCCGTTAGCCGTGGAGCTAACAGCACCAAAACAATAGCGTGCACGGGCGAAGCGGGGCCTCGATTTTATATAAACAAAGAGCTACAACTACTTTTAAAACTCACATTATTATTAATGAGAACAAGTTAATTAAAGTGTGAGTTAAGTTTAAATCCAACAGGAGACGAGGCCCTTGAGTGATTTAAAGCTTCATGTTGATGCTAATTTAAGCTAGTTAGCAAACAAACGCTGAAGGAAGACAGAGGCTCGATAATAAATAAAAAACACAAGTTGTGTGTGAGACTGTGTGTGGTTCTATGAGTGGATTGGTGTCGGAGCCCGGAGAGAGCGAGCAGCAGAGAGGAGCCCGGGACCAGCCTCCATTCATTCCGCTTCCCGCCTCACTCCGAACATCCGCATCCATCCTCCGGCGTCTCTGCACTTTTCTCCATTTTTAACCTCGGAGCTGCACAGACAGAATGTCTCTGTGTCCACGTACCTGACCAGTTTCATGATGGTGATGGACTGAGACAACGAATCCTCCACCGATGAGAAAAAAATTACGACGCTGGTTTTACACTCAGGCCGCTGACGTTCTGTTCACGTATCCGTCGCGGGGATGTGACGTAAATACCGCGAGACGAGGAAGAGGAGGCGTCTCGTCGAACCACACCGCCGCCTACTGGTGGAGTCAGGACATAACAACACTTTCTTCACAACTGTATCATATTTATAACTTATTTATAACTTCACAACTGTTTTATATTTAAAACTCTATTCTTCTGTTTCATTTAAAAACCTGTAACTCTGCAGAAATCACACATGATCAAATTCATGCGCTGTATTTGAAAAGAAACCCCAACAATAAAGAAACCAACGTTATCTTGTAAAATTAGTTTTGTATCCTAAAGAGGTTCTCCTGTTGTAAGTGACTTGATTTTCAAATTACGTTTGTTATATTTAAAAGTTTTAGACATTATAATTGATTCTATTGTTAATGGTAGTAGGTTGGTTCTTTTTCACAGCAGACAAATGGACTTGTCATCGTAGAAACATATTGATGACATTAACTGTGGCTCTGTTCTATTCGTGTGTCCCAGTGAGTCTGAATAAACAGACACCAGGACTCTGAAGCAGCTACATGAAGTTCAACTATTAATTATTTTATTATTCACACTACGACATCAAATGTCTTCATCTGTGAAAAGAGAAAACCTGATTCTACTTCACATTTACACACTGACAACAAAGATATTTGTATATTTACTTGAAAGCCCAGTACAAAATCTTCGAGTGAATCTGAATCTCAATAAAACGCACTGATGGAACTTTGAGACGTCGTCTGAATCAGTTTGTTCCTGCTGGAGATGTTAATAATTCATAGAATGTTATTCAGTAACATGTTGCTGTGAAATCCCTCTAGTTTGACATTTTCCAGTGCAGTGTTTGTTTTAAAAGAACAAACGTTAGTGAAAGACACATTTTTCGGGTTTATTTATTTATGGAATGAATTAAAGAGCTGTTTAATTGAATATGGAATTGATGTAGCATTGTTAGACGGAATGTCCCACAGCTAAGACGTGAATACATTCTTTATAGATAGAATTGTATGTAAATTGACAGTATTGACAATCAAGGGTTCAATATTTAAATAATGATCATGTTGTGTTTGACCATCTGTGAGGTTTTCTCCCGAATCCACTGACAACTGTTTTAAACTACTGCAGAATATATATGAATTTAGAGAATATAATTATTATAATAATCAGAATGATCGTGTGGATCAAGGAAAGAAGAAGCAGCGAAATCTGAAGCAGCCTCTTCTCTCCTCTGCAGATTTCTGCAACAGAGAACTTGACACCGAGCTCATAGCGACACGCTTTCAGTTCTTTTTTATTGAGAGTAAACTTTGCACTGACACTTTCATTTACAGTTTTTGGCCACACATCAAACCGCTCTCATGGACCGACTGGGAATGTATCAAGTATTATCAATGAGAGTGCAATTTCATTTTTTATTTCATTGTTGAATTCTGAAGTTGTTGTTTAATGGACCATTAAAATAGACAAATTATATATGGATTACAAAATGGCACAGGACCATTCCCCTGATGCCATAAATCCAACTCTAATAAGGAAAACAAAAAAGAATATAATAATTATAATAATAATATAATAATAATCAAAGCATCACTCATCAGTTCTCCACATCCTGCCTGTCAGCACTGGATTAGTGAAATGCATCAACAGCATGCATGTGCAAATTAAAAAGGCCTCTGTGCTTCCTCCGCAGCACCATGCAACCTAAAATCAGTCCTGTTGATCGAGCAGTGAAAAGAGTTTGAGACGTCAGCGGCAACACCAACGTCTCCGGAGGCTTCAAGAAAACGTCTCCATCAGAAACTACAACCTGTTCCAGCACCTCCGCAGCTTGATGTTCCGCACAGAGAGGAGAACATTCTTTTCTGCGGAGGATTTCACTTAAAAACAAGCCTCAAGCACATGATCAGTTATAAGTGATGCATCCATGATTGCATGTCAGGTTCTCTCTTCTGTATTTAATTGTCTGTTTTGGTAACGTAGAGCAAGGATTTTCAACAAAGTCAGATTTTTTTTTTCAGGATTTCTTTACATTTGTTTTTTTGTTTTTTTCATGCCACCAGATTATAATTAAAAACACTCCATTCTTATTACCATCCCAGTCCCCAAAGCATCATATCATATCTCAACACAACAGGCAGTGTTCAATTCTGTTGTAAACATCAATGTTGGGCAATAATGTTTGAAGATGTGTGAATGACCAGCCAGGAGTCAGAGTTCTACATCACGTTTGAAGAAGTAATCAGAGGTCTAGACTTCAGCAACATTAAGATAAAGTGGATGTTAATTATCGTGGACAATCAAATAAGTGAATAATTGAGATTTAATTCATTAACAGAGCCTCAAAAATATTTCTGATTAAATAAATTGGTTGAAACATGAACCTGTTCTCTCTGGGGATGAAGTCGAGTCAGATAAATCAGGGCTGAAAGAACAAACAATACTAATGTGCATCAAAAACCTCAGTGTATTTGTGGCAACAGCCGCGAGTGGTGTGTCCTCCGATTACGTTCATTAGCAACTCCTTTTAAAAAGTAATGACACTAATAAATACAGACAAATAAAACAAATACGATTAACAACAAAAAAGGCACACAGACCCAACGACTCTGGTCTCAACTGGAAGAGATTTCATCTCTGTAATAAGGAATAAAAATGGATAAATTACAGTAAAAACCCAACGGATCTGCCCACTAACAACAGAGCACTGTACTCGCCATCAGTAGTGGAAAAGATATGAAACAGCAAACGTCTCTAGTATTTTCATTTGCTTCATTTTAGCTGCTAAAGCTCAGATCAATGTGAAAACAAACTAATACATTCTTATTTAAAACGCATTGTGGTCTAATGTGACGCTTTCCAGGAATGTGGAGGAGTCTGGAAACATTCTGCTGTAAGTTAAATTAAAACGAATGCAGTAAACTGTTTACTCCAGACTTCCTTATATGTATTAACATTAGATGTTTTTTTTGATGTTGTAATCATTCTCTGACACATCTTCAAGAAACTTAATGGTTACAGATTTAGTTAATGTTTTACAGCATTTTATAAGGACAGATTTATTTGATCACTGATGAGACTCTTTTCGTTGTGTAAGCATAAAGCATCTTGTGTCACATTGAAACCGTTTTGAAAACTGAGCCAAAGCAGCTAAAATACTGAAATCTTAATGAAACGTATGGATGACAGCTTGTCTCTGATGAAGACAGAAGTTTGAGGAATGAGTAGCTGGATGTGTCAGCGAGCAGGAAAAATAAAGGGGATCAATCCCCCCTGAAAACGAGCACCCATGATGCAACAGTTCTTTTGAGCAAGACAATGAATTCCTACTGCTGCTCTGAAGCTGAGAGCGACCCCTGACCTTGCAGTGCAGAGGGACAAAACAATTCATCCTCTGATCGTCTTGAGTATTACAAAATAATTGATACACAACATCCAGATAAAGCCAGTCGCACCAGAGTGAAGTTCACTGAGCAGACGGGCGAATCGTGGTTCTTGCGCGGCCTCCCGAAAAGGAAAGATCAGTAGTGTGTTGGCTCTCGTAAAACAGGCACAGTGTGCGTGAAGGTCCAAAACTCTGAATTAGGCCCCTCTGATTGTACAGTACGCTAACAAGCTCCAAGGTTACAGGTATGACCGTGTTTTGGCTCTTGGGACTCTGAAAAAGCTCGTGGTTGGGTCAGTGTGTGTGTGTGAATGAAGTGTGAGTGTTTACAAGGCAAGTTTGGATTTTCAGCAGCACCAAAACTACACCCTGAACAAACTGAGGAGACAAATACAGGAGGTGGGGAATAAATAAAAATAAGAAAATAACAAAAACATGTGCAGCATTTTATGTCTTATGTGTGATATCAGTAGCTTTCCATTGACGTAAGCTGTTTTAAATACTCGTCTTCAAAGAATAGTTTGTCTGTTTCAAAAACAAACAAAAGCACTTGAAAAATAATAATAATTATAAATCAAACTGCGTATGACATCATCTTTACTGGACAAAGTCTGCAGGGCTTCATGTCCTCTCTAGATACAGTATATTACATACAGTAAACACTCAACCTGCTAAGACCTACATCTTTCACTGATGCATCTCTTTTTCCATTAGTGTTTTGCTCTCTATGATGATTTTCTTCCCTCTTTCATCACTCTCTCATCTCTATCTTTCTCCATTTAATTCAACTTTCTCTCTACTACATCACACCAGGTGCACTTGCTCCTCCCACTCCTCAGGTGATTCATCCACCTCCAGCTGAAGAACGAGATCTAAGTCTGTCTCTGTGGCCGGGGCAGTGTTTGCGGGGCTGTTTGCACGTTGGGAGTGTGTGCACGGGTGTGTGCGCGCTTCGTCCAGCGACAGGTCCGCCACACACCCTTCGTCCACACCCTCCTTGCCAGCCTCTCTGTGTTCCAGCTCCAGAGTGCTTGGCCTCAATGCCTTCGGGGCCTCCGCCCCGGCAGCACCTAAATAGAGACTCACCAACTCTCCGTCCGCTTGTGGCTCACCCTCCAGGGGCTGCCAGATTGGGGCGGGGGTCACGCCCCTGGAGGTCTGGCTCTCAGTCTCAGTGTGTGTGTCAGGGGAGGACTCGGTCTCTGTGGTGGGCGGGGAGGGGATGAGGGCCAGGCTCTGGGGGTTGTTCTGCGGGTTGATGTTGTTGTTGAACCAGGCCATGATGTTGTCCAGCAGCTGGGCACTGGCTGTGGGGTCCAGGGCTTCCAGACTCTGAGGGTCACTGGGTGTGAAAGGGCCCCCCGGGGGGATCACTGGTGAAAGTAGCAGCTCCGGCTCAAGCTCTGGAGATGGGAGGCACAACTGGGCAGGGTCCTGGGGGTCTGTTTTGGGTGGGCGCTCAAGAACATAGGCAGCGGGCCGCTCCTGAGTGTAAGAGCTACTGTGTTCTGGGCAGGGGTTGTAAGAGCTGTCTGGTTTCGGGGTGCTGTCGTATGTGGCCGCATGTTCCCGGTTATATGGACAAGGAAGGGCGGGGTTTTGTGTGATTTGGGTGCGATCTATTACGCAGGAGGCAGTGTGTTCAGTGTCAGCCAAATAAGCACTGGAGTGGCAGTAACTCTGATCTTTGCCATCATAGCGAGGATTTGTGATGGTGATATGGTCTTGTCTATGGCTGCAGTCGCTATAAGCAGGTTCAGCGGCATAAGGAGCATTGAGAGCGCCGTGGTTGTATGTGTGGTGCGAGCAGAGCTGTTCCTGCGTGTGTGTGTTCAGGTCGTAAGGAGTGGTTATGTTCCCCAGTTTCATAAGGCTGTCTCCCAACTCCAGCAGCTCTGCACTGAGAGAGGGAGGTGGGGGCGGGAGGGGGATGGACGTGGGAGCCTGGGAAGTGGAGTCTGTCCTGTTAGGGGGCCGAGGAGGATCAAGGAGAGAGGCGGGGAAGGACGAGCGTCTGGCTCCTAGAGGACCATCTGTGTTGAGGGAGTGCAACGCAACCTCTCTGAGGTCACCCGCTGGACCCGGCCTCCTCTCCTGTCCTCTGTCCAGGGCATGCTCCAGCTCCGGTCGCCCGTCCAGCACTCCCTCCAGGCCTCGCTCTCTGCGGGAGTCCTGGAGCGACAGCTGGATTGCTAGGAGGATGTTCGGGTCGTCTTCATCCAGCGAGCCCAGCACTCTCCTACGTCCCTCGCTCCTCTCTGGAGCTTCTGGAAGAGAAAATGTTGCGTTAAATCAAGCTACTTTTCTTTCTTTCTTTACTTGACCGCCAATTGATCCCAGACATCAGTGCCTGTGTGCACTTTGACAGATCTGATTCAAGGAGCAATAAAGTAAAATCCCATTAGCTGGTTGTCTGGTGCAGTGATAAGTCAGAATTTATAAATGAGGCAGAGAATGGAGTTGGACTGGGATACATAGTCAATACAAATACAGTGCTGTAAAACAAATCTGATGCATATGGTACCATGCATGTGTAATA